AAGGCAGCTGATGTACGGCTTATATTAGCCGATGTACGGCTGAAATCATCCAGACTGAGTTGAAGTGAATAGCCGAACGTCGTCGGGCGCACTTCACTTTGGCTCGGTTATTAACTCGGCTGCTTTGTGAATGACCCTCAGAATCTCCCCTTCCGGGTGAGAATAAGGGGTTGATTTACTAACCTTATAAACACACCATGAACATGTATACACCTCTGTAGTGTGTTCCCTCCCAGCATGATCTATGGGTGGGATCTAAACACCTTTGTAGTGTGTACACACCCAGCAGGTGTGTTGTGCAAAGCCAAGCATGAAATACAAATATATTGTGAGTCTTAGCTTCAAATGTAGAGTTTTCTAAGTATTCTGTCTTACTCAGAAGAATGATTTTTCATGGCCTTCGGGGAGGAGAGAAAGTGACAGCCGGCCGAGCGCTGCGGGCAACAGTATGCTGCTGTTAGGACCGGGGGGGGCCCAAGAAGTTGTTTGCCCAGGGTCCAATCAGTATTAAAGACGGCCCTGGTTAGTACCGATTTCTTCCCTATACTGTATACACAACAGTAAGTTTAAAAACAGCTGTATACATAACTCTTTTCAGCAGTTACTCTTACTTTTACTTCCTGGGACACATTACATATTTTTCATTTTTGTCTTATTTTTCATATTTGCCCTCTCCACTACATATTTACTTTATGTCTTCCAGTTTATTAATCTAATATATAATTTACTTAGGTGGCTATTCACTAAGCTGCCGAAGGCAGCCCAATGAATAACTGAGCCGAAGTGAAGGGAGCTGAAGCCTGTTCATTGCAGCTGTGTACGGTTATTTTTAGTCGTACATCGGCTGCATTTGGCTCGCTTCACCTCCCTTCTGCTTGGCCAGACAGCCTCAGCACTTTCGGCCAAACCAAACGGAAAAGTCTGTTCAACTCAGCCAATGCAACATCTAGATTGGCTGAGGTGGATGTTCAGCACTTTTTTCTCTGCTGTTCACCCCTATATAGGGGCCGAACAGCAGAGAGTGAATTATCGCACAGTCGGATCTTCATTCGGTTTAGTCATTCTGTTCACTATCTCAGAGGTAGCGAACAGAATAAAAAATGTGATTGTAAACAAAACAAATAAATAAATTGCGCAGAGTCCCCTCCCCAAATCATACCAGACCCTGTAGGCCTGGTAGGAATGTTAGAGGGGACCCCCGATGTAATAAAAAAAAAAAAGTGTGTAGTTGCCCTACAAATTTATACCAGATCCTTAAGGTCTCGGAGGAATCATGCCAAAAAAAGGGCTAAAATAAATGTGGAGTCCTCCCTAAAATTCCAGTGGCCTGGCTGAGCAGGAAAGGGTGGGGGGATGATGAGCACTCCCGCACCATACCAGGCCACATGCCCTCGACATTGGGTGGGTGCCTTTCCGGGAATGGGGGGGCCTGGAAAATCGAAAATCACCTTGTCCCCATTCTGATGAGGACAAGGGCCTCTGGTCTCACTGGGCCAGGGTTGTGGGGGTTGGCAGGCAGGGGGGCTTATCTGCATCTGTGTGCCCCCTTTCATAAAGGGGCACCCAGAGGCCGCCCCTTGTGAATGATTAAGAGGTAGTTGTTACCCCTACCAAATAGTACACAAAATAGTAAATAAACACACCTTGAAAAAAAGTCCTTTATTTGAACAAAAAACAAAAGCTAGTTTTTGACAAGTCCTTTATTATAAAACTAAAACCCAAAAAGTGTCCAATAATGTAATCCAAAGGTCAATCATGTCATCATGTGATGTAGATCCTCGTCAATCACGATGATTCCGCCTACTGACCCGTCCAGAGCCGCCGAACTCCCACAGAAATAGTTTTTTTTTTTTTTATAAATTCTTTCATTTTTGTGACACAGCATGTTATGTCAGTTACATACAGTATAAGGGGAAAGTACACATATAAATCATAAACAGACAAATGTGGGGGGGGACATGGAAATTACAGGCATTCGTTAATATTCACAACGTCTCAGGGAAGCACAGGGAAATTGGTATGAAAACATTGAGCTGTAAGTAAGACATCCCCAAATTCTGGAGTCGAGCTCTCCTATGCCCGCGGGGGGAAGCTCTAACTTTTAAAATCGCCAGTTTCGTGCAGGACCAGAAGACATGGAGCATGTCTGCATCCGGTCCACCGCATCGCCAGCAAACATCTGGCGAAGTGGGATACATATGGTGTAGTCTACGAGGTGTCCTGTACCATCTCGTCAGAATCTTATATCCCGACTCTTAGTACTTATTGCAGATGGATGCCTTCAGGGATAGCTGCATTATCTTGGTCTTTTCAGGGGGTGTAAATTGCATCCCTAGCTCTGTTTCCCATCTCTCTATGAAGTGTAACGGCTCGGTCGAGTCAGAGGATAGCAGAGTTTGGTAGCAAAAGGATAAAGATTTTGCCAATGGGCCCTGGTCTGTGTAAGCTTGTTCGAGTGGTGTCAATGGTCGGGTGAAAGCTGACGGGTCTGGGATAAATGCGAGGTAGTGAGAGAGTTGAAGGTGTCGCCATAGACCCAGACCGACCAGAACTGGGTCCGCCGAGAGGTCTGGGAGGGCTTGCCAGGATGTTCCCTGTAAGAAGTGCATTGCCCGAAACCTGTCCGCAGTCCGAAGGTTCGAAAGCAATCTATCTTCAAGACCCGGCGGGAATTGAGGGTTGCCTATTATCGGCATCAAGGGTGAGGGAGACGGTGAGAGTTGCTTCCCCAGAAAGGCAGACCGGGTGCAGCCTAACTGTCGTATCCAATTGTTTGTTGCACCATGGTAACACCGCGAGCGGAATGGCGGACATGCTCTGCTCCACAGCCACCCAAGGCTTAATCTCTTCATGTCGGCACCAGTCCATAACGCGGGTCAAGTGCGATGCCACATAATAAAGCTGAATGTCTGGTAGGGCAAGGCCCCCCGAGTCCTTAGACCTCCGTAAAATAGACAGTCGTAGTCGTGGTGCCCTGCCCGCCCAGACAAACCGTGTGATCATGGCCTGTATCGAGGCAAAAAAGCTGCCGGGCAGAGAGATTGGCAAGGCTTGAAACGGGTAGAGGAACCTTGGCAACACGTTTTGTTTAATAACATTGCATCTTCCCGTCCAAGTGAAAGCCTGTCGTGACCAACCAAGGAGGTCCGCTTGAACTGTCTGAAGAAGTGGCGGAAAATGAAGACTATAAGTGTTTTTCAGGTCTCGCGGGAGGTGAACTCCCAGATATTTAATAGAGGACAAAGACCATTGAAATGGGAAATTTAGGGATATGCGTTTGAGCATTCAGGGGGAAAAGTGAGATTCAGTGCTTCTGATTTTTGATTGTTTATGTGGAAATTGGATAGTTCCCCATATATACGGAGGGCAGACATGAGATTGGGCACAGATGTGTCCGGGGCCGTAAGGAAGAATAATAAATCATCTGCGTAGGCAGCTACCTTATGTTGGTGGGCGCCAACCTGTATGCCCCTGGTATCCGGATTCATCCAGATAAAACGCAATAAGGGTTCTAGAGTTAAAATAAAAATCAGCGGAGAAAGGGGGCAACCCTGACGCGTCCCATTGGCGATCCCAAAAGGATGTCCTTGAACTGGAGAGAGTCCAGCGGAGGGCAACCAAACTAATTAGGGGAATGGAGGACCAGAGCTATGAGACAAGGCTTCTGACCTTAAACATGTTTACGCTGGAATTAAGGAGACTAAGGGGGATATGATTTTCATGTACAAGATGTTCAATGGTGACAGCAACATTGGCAACAAACTGTTTGAGATTAACTCCATTACAAAGACTAGAGGCCACCACCTAAAGTTGGTGGAGGAAAAAATTCCAGCACAATGGGCGAAGAGGGTTCTTTACAGTAAGAGCGATTAAGGTCTGGAACTCACTGCCATCGGCAGTGATTTCAGCCAAGAGTGTAGATTTGTTCAAGAAACGTTTGGACAATTTCTTGAGGGACCGTAATATCCAGGGATACCAGTATCCCTAAGAATGAGATGATGCGTGGACCTATATGGGTTGGACTTGATGGACGTATGTCTTTATTCAACCCCAAATACTATGTAAGCATGCCATATTAATTAAAATGAATGAATTAATCTAAATATCCTTTTCCTTGTTTTCCAAATGGGCATGAGACAGATATTATGAGTTTTATCCCTGGGCTCCGAAGGCAGGGGGTGGAGACAAGTTGTGGCAGGTTTTGCCAATGTCAAATATCTAAGGAGCTCTTTTGCGCTACGGATACAGCAATAGTGTCTTCTTGCTAGAGGCAGTGAATGAGGGATACATGACATTCTTGGACACTTACTGCCCACAGCATATGGCAAATCACAGACTCACATCAGCTGTTGGAAGAATGATTGTCAGCAGTGTTCTGACAACTGAAATTACAGGTCTGTGTGTTGGCACGGCACCCTGAAGCTAACACGTCAGACAGATCTGCTCTTGGGCATAGCAAGGTTAGAATGAAAAAGGATGGATACAGACTGGTAGGATCACCTGTGTTTCAGTGCCTTTATATAAATATAAGGACTTCCCATGTGTATTCTAAAGGTACAAAGGAAAGCAGTCCTCAACTATTTAAATTAAGGTCAACACTCAAGGTTCATTGAAAGAAAGGACAAGAATGTAACAATGAATAACAACCTTTTTTTTATAATTATACAACCATATAGTGCATGTAGGTGTCAAAGATAGAAAGTACAAAATATGGATTTACAGTCAAAAGCTAATGAAGATGATTTTTTTTTTTCTTACCGCAAAATTGGGTATAATACATATTTGTAAGAAAAATACACACATGGAATATTTTGTAATATGAAAAAACACTTACATTTATGTAATTAAAACTTTTTCTTAACATGGTTTTGTTTGCCAAGGCCATATTTAAGAGTATACACTCTTCTTTTTATACAAGTCAATGCAGCTTGGCCTCTTTTCTGTCTATACAAAATGCAAATAGTGTATACATGAACAAGTAAATGTTGAATAATACATACCGTTAATATGAAGAGAACAGGACCCACAAATGCCCAGATTATATCAGTCTGAATGTTTAGCCAGCAGTGACTGTCTGCCACATACTTATTTAAAGAGGTTGCCATGGTCACGCTTACAATAATGACTGGAAGGCCTAAAGAAGATGAGATTACAGATTGTTCATTAACAAAACAGGATTGTGCAAGACAGAGGAACCCTATTGTCATGCATTAAAAACATACAATATGGTCAAAATTTAGTATCAGGTGTTTGGAAATGAACTATATTTGCATCAAAGCCAAAATCTTCGCTGTAAGGTATTTTTTAAATTCTTACAATAGATACAGTACAGTAAGGATTACCAACTGTTAAATAAAGCATTTAGTAAAAAGAAATACTCTTGACAGTCATCCAGAGCAGAAAATTTCAATCATCCAGAATCAAGAACAATGTGTTGAAACAAGAGTGTCAGCATTTTGATAGGTCGCCGTTCAGGTAGCATTAAACTGGTGGTTTATAGTAAGTTGGTAAGGTATTTTTGGAGTATAATGATAAATAGGAATTGTACATAAGTGTGACTGTATTTTTGTATTTTTTAATAATTGCACATTGTTGTGTTCTGAAAAATAAAAGGATAAAACAGCCAGAGGATAATTACTCTCTTCCAGAGAAACTGGCCAAAGAATCTTCAGCATCCAACACTGCAAAACACCATGACCAACCCTGTGCTCCAGCAGATTGGGGCTGCCTGCTCCCCAGGCTCCAGAGCTCTGTCTGTTTGACTCACCTGCACTAAATTGCCACTGAGGCAAAGGGGGTGATTTACTAACCTAAACCTAAACACACGCACGCACTAGGTGCGTGTGATTTTTACACAGCAAAACGTATTTATCAACCAAAAAGTCTCTAAAAGCATATTTCCACTAATGCCATATATGGAAAAATCATGCACATGATGCATATATAATGCTGCTTCACAGTTTAGACAATCCGAAAATCCTGGGGTTCTAGTGTTCCATCCTCCTTTCGATTTAAAACGTTTAAAAGATTTAAACATCAAGCAATTAGAGGTAACTTTTCTCGTTCAGAATTTCTCTGGAAATTCTATTTCTCCTGGAAATTCTGAAGGAGAAAAGTTACCTCTAATTGCTTGATGTTTAAATCTTTTAAACGTTTTAAATCAAAAGGAGGATGGAACACTAGAACCCCAGGATTTTCGGATAATTGTTCCTAATCAAAGGTCGGGTGGAGACACCTTAGAAGATATCGATCTGCGGAATGAAGGGACTGTTCATTTGAAACATCACTATTGGACAGTGAAGTAGCCGTTCCTTATTCTGATATATAAACCTCAAAATCTTCTAAAACTGACTGCCTGGTATAGCGTAGAGCTAATTTAAATATATAACCCATCGAATGCTGGATAATTTGATGTGACTGTTTCAATATCCAACTTTACTATCCATTGAAGAGGGGAAGCAATTAATTATATCGTTTTTTGTGCACTGCCCCACAGCCAATGTTTGAGCATATTAGTAGGCTATTCATCACTGTTTAGATCACTATTAGCACTGTTTAGATTATTGCTATCACTAAACCCTCCATATTGGATCAGGTTTACACATGCCAATGTGTAGACCCATTTGTTACATATAAGGGTTGAAGGTTTGTGTTTGTTGATCACAGAGCTTCCGGATTATGCTTCAAGTCCGGCACTTTTGTTATATATTTATTCATTGAGCACTGTCATTGTGCATGCATCACATGTATTATGTTGATTTTTGATATTGATTTTTGGTGTTCACATATATATAGGTTGTTCCTTGAGAGAACACTCACATTTTGATTATACATCTGTGATATAGTATTTTGTCATTAGAGACAATCATGGTCTCTTCAAGTTAGATTGTAAGTTTCCTTCACGTTACAATTCACATTCACACTGGTATAGCAGGTCATCATGTAGAGAGCAAGGAGAGGTCCTGTCCGGGGTTTACAAGCGCAACTTGCTTGCCATAAGAGAGATACACACGAATATAGTTGCTGCTTGCCCTTCCTTATTTAGATATCCAGTCCTAGCGCAGTGTTTCTTGAATAATAGACCTGCTATACCAGTTTGAGGTGGGGACCCTGACAAAAAGATATTGCAAAGAGAATCCAGATGAATTTATAGACTAAATGCTACCTTTGCACCTGACTTAAATGAACAACTCTCTTTCAAACCATTTTTGTAAGATGCCGCATCTGGGAACCCTAGGTGAATACCAGATAGAAACAAATTAATTAGTTGTACATAGTTACATAGTTACACAGTTAGTCAGGTTGAAAAAAGACACAAGTCCATCTAGTTCAACCTATAGAGATAAGAGAAAAAAGAAAAACCTAAAACAGAACGAACGCTATGCCCACAGTTACCCACTGTTGATCCAGAGGAAGGCAAAAAAACCCTCTAAAGCATGGTTCAATTTGCTCCAACAGGGGGGAAAAAATTCCTTCCTGATCCCATAAGGCAATCAGATATTCCCTGGATCAACAATCTCTGGTCCTTAATATACTTATAAGAACTCAATATCCAGTAATGTTCTGTGCATTTAGGATCACATCCAGATTTTTTTTTTAAAACAGTTAACTGAGCTAGCTAGAACTAGCTCCTGGGGGAGTCTATTCCACATTTTCACAGCTCTAGCTGTGAAGAATCCTTTCCGTATGCAAAGGTTAAACCTCTTTTCCTCCAGATGAAAAGAGTGCTCCTTTGTCCTTTCCAGTGACTTTAAAGTGAATAATTTGGCACCAAGCTCACTATATGGACCATTTATGTATTTATACATGGTGATCATGTCCCTCCTTAATTGCCTCTTCTCCAGAGAGAACAAATTCAGGTCAGCTAATCTTTCCTCATAGCTGAGCTCCTCCATGCCTCTTATGAGTTTAGGTGCCATTTTCTGCACTTTCTCCAGTTCCACAACATCCATTTTGTCAACTGGTGCCCAAAACTGAACGGCATATTCCAGATGAGGTCTTACTAATGCTTTGTACAGAGGCAGGATGATGTCTCTATCTCTGGAGTCTATACCCCTTGTAATACAAGAAAGTATTTTGCTTGCTTTAGAAACTGCAGCTTGACATTGAATGGTATTATTGAGTCTATGATCTACCAGAACACCCAGATGTTTCTCCACCATTGACTCCCCCAAACATACTCCCTCTAGAGTGTATGACGCATGCATGTTTTTAGTCCCCAAGTGTATAACTTTAGATTCATCAACATTAAACCTAATTTGCCAAATAGATGCCCAATCATGCAGTGCATTCAGGTCTGCTTGTAGGTTGGAGACATCCTGTAAGGAGTGTATTCCACTACATAACTTGGTGTCATCTGCAAACACAGAAATAGTACTTTTAATCCCCAACTCTATGTCATTTATTAAAACATTAAACAGTAAGGGGCCCAACACTGAACCTTGGAGGACATCACTAACAACCTCAGACCATTCAAAGTATGAATCATTGATCATCACTCTCTGAATGCGGTATTTAACCACTTGAAGTCCGCTGTGTTAAACCCCCTTCCTGTCCTGGCCATTTTTCAGTATTCAGCGCTGCAGTAATTTGACTGTCATTTATTCCGTCATGCAATGCTGTACTGAAATTAATTTAATTGGGGACAGATAGAGCTTTCTTTTGGTAGTATTTAATCACCACTGCAGTTTTTATTTTTTACTATAATAAGGAAAAATTACCGGAAAAAAAAACTGTTTCACCTATATTAAATTATAAAACATTTATTATTACACAATTTTTTGGTAAAACATGAAATACGGGGTCATGTTGGGTAAAAACACACCAAACATGTCAGGCCTTAAAATTGCGCATGCCCGCGAAGCCTCAAAAAATTACAATACCCAAAATTGGCAATAGGCGACGATTTAAAAGCTTTTACCGCTCATCAGTTTAGTGTTATCAGTGATTGATGGCCCTAAAATGATTGCTCTCACTGCGATGTTCGCGACGATATGTAACATGTGTAGCGAAATTGTCATTTCCACGCGCTGGCGCATCTGACACGTATTTACGTTTATATGTGTGTAAACGTAGGGGTGTGGGACTTAAAAAATGTTGGGTTTTTTTCAAACTTTTTTTTATATGTGTCTTTTATTATTTTTTTACTTATTTTTTTTTTTTACACTTAATGTTATTGCTATTACATTGGGGTATAACAACCCCCAATATAATAGCAAAGGCACACTGACTGATCCTCTTTATTGAGACATGAGGGGTCTCTAAGACCACTAATGTCATCAGCTTCTTCTCTCTGGCTATAGCAGCCAGAGGAATGACAGGTGAATGCGGAAGTGATGTATTACACATTACTTCCACATTCAGACGCCGGAGGGAGTTCAGCAAGGAGGAAGATGCTGATCTCCCTCCCATCTTCCTCCTAAAACCCTCCTGAGCTGGTCCCGGCCGCAGATGGGGCAGCGGAGCCCAGGATTGAAGGGGAGGGTGCAGGAGGGGGGGCGGCACTCCAGGGGGGGGGCGCACGCAGGCAGCACATACAAGATGGTGTTTTTCTGCCCATGCTAGGGGGCACTCGCAAGCAGAAAAAAATAAGCCGTCTATTTGCGGCAACCCTGAGTTTGCCGTCTGGCCGTTTTTTCACAAGGGGCGGACGGCAAGCGGTTACTATACTATATCCACAGCCATTCCTCTGTCCAGTTTATTACTTACTTCCTCATAAAAAGAAAGTAGGTTTGTTTGACAACTTCTGTCTGTCTTGGAGACCCCTGATGTTTCCATAAAGAAAACCTGTCACATATATTTGCTATCACATAGGGCGGTTTCTAAGCCCCATATGCGATAACAATAAAGTTAAGTGGAAAAAAAATGAGAAGAAAAATTAAAGTTGCAAAAAAATTAAAGTCACACAGTTTTTTGCGATTTTGTGGGTGCGCACAATTTTAAAGCTTGCCATATTTCGTGTCTATTTACCCGACGTTGAGCACAACAAATGGCAAATGCACTCATCAACTCATAACCAGCTCTAAAGTAAGGTGCACATGGAAGGGCTTTATACAGTACAACAGCAAAAAGTTTCCCAGCACACTCACCAGCCAGCATGCAAAAACAACCTGTCTAACTGCTAATGTTAAAAAC